GCTTCATAATAAAAATAACAAACATTATGTCAAAAAACAGCTTTTGTCCCAATCGTCTGGGAGGTGACTTTAATTTAAAAAAAACATAAAGTTAAAGAATCCTTAATTGAAAGAAACAAATTTCAAGCTACATGTTTGCAGCTAGTGGTGTCACACAGTCTACTAGTTTATCCATTTTGAGTTAATATCTAAGAACAAAAAGTGATTAACTGATGTTACACTGAACTATGGAGGCCAAGAAGGTCACTGGTGGAAATATAAAAAAAGAAGATCTAAAGATTTTACAGAAATTAAGTCTTCATAAACAGAAAATGCCATTTATTGACTTTATCCATTAATCACCAAACCCTATTATAACATTCTATTGAAATAAAACCAGCTGCTTTTATGTGGGGCTTTATAATTAGTCGTGAATTTGAATCATTTTTCACTGCCATTTTATCCTGTGAAATAATTTAGCTACATTTACACTGGAAAAAAGATCTGGAAATAAGTTAAAATATCTTAAACCCAGTGTAATTACCCTTAATTTGAGTAGATAAATAAGATGATCTGCCAATTAATAAGTATATTTACTCTTAAAATAAGATAATTAGCTAATATCCACTTGAAATAAGACAATAGAGTTGTTTTTCCTTATTTTAAATGTACAGTAGATTGTCTCGCTCCATTGGCAAAGCGTCTCACTTACCTCCTCAATTCAAGAAAATATGCATTTATTTTAAGACCTATTGAGATTTCGATTTTTGCTGTGTAATGAGAGAAGAATTCAAATTATTTTAGTTAGAAATCTTTTTCTATTATATGGCAATCAGTGCACTCTCTGGAATAAGAAGGAAAAATTCCTCCTGATTGGCTGATTTCAGACCAACATTAGGTGGAAAATATGATGCACCAGCACAAAAATCTGGTTTTAAATTAGATTTTTTTTTATGCTGACCGACATGTTCTGGCTGGAGTCCAAGTCCTGCTGGAGGGAAAACTTGGACATGTAGAAGAATTTAATAAAATTCTAATCTAAAGCACACCGTTTGGATTATTAAATCCTCTCCTAATCAAAGGGGAGTTGGTTAAACATCAGGAGAGCCTGACTCAGCCTTCCTCCCCTGGGCGACTGATCCACTGTGAGAGACGGGCTCCTAGCCATCAAGCCAGAGACGGTTTGTTGTGATTGAACCTCTGAACAGGATCAAAAGAAGAAAAACACCCTGAAAAACCAGCTGAGCAGCTCTATTCACCGTTTCCTAGAAGTTCAGGTCGGTTCGTTGGATCTCCAGACAGATTCAAAAACATTTATTTCCTTTCTGTTCCTCGATCTTCATCATTATTGGGTCAATAAAAGTCAAATAAATCATTAAATCTAATCTACCTGCCATATATTGATATTAGATCTATCAAACAATAACATTTTGCAATCTATTTATTCATTTTGTTCTGCCAAAGAATAAAGATAATGAGAAGTTCTCTCCCCCCAACCTAAAACTCGAAATTGCAACAAAAAAAAAGAGGATGAAAAAGTCTTATTAATGAACTTTTTCAAATTAAATAAGTTGTGAGATTTAAACAGAGTTCAATTCAGTTAAAGTAAAATTTTGTCTTATTTAAATGCAGCAGCTTTTATCTAACAAGGTCCATTCTTCCTCCTTCTTCCTTTTGTTACATTATCACACTTAACAGTTCGTTAAAAAATTATCTTAAAGCGATAGTTCGGTATTTTTGACATGAATCTGTATGGCATCCCCATCACCAGCGGCATGCAATCACACTGACTTATCCCTGGCAGCGTCCTGTGAGCAGAGTTATCGTCCAGTTTTGGTCAAGCCGAAAGTAGTCCTGCAGGTTT